TCGGTTGCCTCAGAGCCTCCCGACATCGACGACCATCGGCATTGATGCACAAGATCCAATGCGGAGCGTCCGCCTCCCCGTCTGTCGCCTGACTCCATCGATATCGACGCCTTTGACTGCAGAAGGGGCACGTATGCTCTTCCGTCAACTTATTCTCCGCGTGGTTCTCGGTCGAGGAGTTGTTCCCCAAGATCGTGCATGCCGCCACCGTTACCTATACGGTCCGTACCATCCTCCGATGCCTTGGCTGGGCCATACGGAATACACTGACTGGGACAGATACTCCTGTCGATCTTCCCACAGGTCTCGTTCTCCGAGGCGATCTAGACCATCTGCAACGGTCTCTCGTCCTCCTCAGCCGGACACTGTTCCACTGTCGGGAACGTCCGCCGTCACTGCGGCTGCACCAATCCAGCCACCTGTTCCGTCTCCACATCGGCCTGCCCCGGCTGGGGAGCCTGACTCTTCGGAGCCATCGATATTGGGTTCCGATACCGAGCCATCCGAGGCTCCAACGTCGCCTGATCACTCGTCCCCCCCCCATGACGTCTTCCAAAACCTTCCTATATCTCCATCAGACACCTTGTCATCCTACACCGACCTAATCAAAAGAATGGCCCACGCGCTGGGCTTGTCAATTGTTCAAAAAGATCCTCAGTCTACGGATTCCCTCTACGACATCGTCCAACTTGATACATCCTCAGTCGTCGAGCTCCCAATGTCGTCAGTATTGCTAGAAGCCGCAAAAAACCCTTGGCAGAAACCGTCGTCCGCCCCTGTCTCTAGTAAAAAGCTGGACCACATGTACCGCATTCAGCAAACTGCGGCAGAGTTCCTCCTTACCCATCCTCAACCGAATTCCTTAGTCGTCACCTCGTCCTCCAAGTCCAAAAAATCGCAATCTGCTCCTTCTGACAGGGAAGGCAAAAAGTTGGATGCGTTTGGCCGTCGCTTTTACTCTACGGGAGCGTTGGCTGTGAAAGCTTCTAACTATCTCGCCTGCATGGGTCGATACCAGTACACCCTGTGGGAGCAGATGTCCCTGCAGCAGATTTTGCCGTTACTCCGGGAGGGCGTCTGGATGGCCACCCTCGACCTCCAGGATGCCTACTTCCATGTCACTATCCACCCTTCCCACCGCCAATTCCTGAGATTCGCAATTGGCCACCTCCACTACCAGTACACGGCTCTTCCCTTCGGCCTTTCCAGCGCCCCAAGGGTCTTCACCAAGACGAT